ATCTATGATTTATTTTCATTCATCTTATTTATTGTCTAAATATCTAATCACTAAATCCTTTCTAAATATACTCGATGTTACTTTTAATCATCACGTCTTATATCTTTATTAAACTTTTGAAGTAATGTTATGTCTATTCGTTTCTTTCCTTTTCTATGATTTATGACATTTTATGACATTTATGGCAAAAAATTCAAATTAAAACGAATTGCATTACTCTTATAACTAATGCGGCAAAACATAATACGGGAACAAATTATTTTAATATTTGTGATTTCAAAATCAATACATTCTATGATATTATGTATTAAATTGAATTTATAACGAGATTTAATCAAAACTTTTTACCATTAAAAAAGAGAGTCAATGATTTACTATAAGAATCGTTGACTCATTTTTATATAGAAATTGAATTTACTTTTTTTTAGAAATGTGTTTTTTAAAGAAAACACAACAAACACTTCAGTCAACTTTTTTTTATGAATTTAAAATCTTTTGGCCATTACTTTCATTCAAGCGTTTTCTCTCTTCAAAAAAATATCCATAAAATGCATGATATGTTTGGCCAACGCTTTTGCAATTGAAGTGAAAAACATAGACATTAGAGTAATGAGCAGAAGGTATGGTTATCTGTAAATATTGTTTTCCAATTCAATCAAACGCACGGAATATAGCGATGAATGACGACTACATTATGGGTTATATCGCGAGTTAAACGCTTTAAAATAATATATTTTTTAATAGTTTTGGTGTCAAAAACACAAAACGGCAATATTTTATGTCATAATCACTGATTTGTTTGTGTGGTCTTCTATTGACACAATATATGAGTTTAAGTTATTTTCTAAATTAAAATTTATGTTCAAAATTACTCCAATTTATCAATTGTTTGCCTAATATTAAATTTTTATAATAATATATTAATCGCGATTCTGATAGTGTTATAAAATAAATAATTTTATATTAATTCTAATCTATGTTTCATTTTATATAAATTCTTTTGAATCCTATTCACAATTTAAGTATTTCAAGAGCAATAATGTTAGTTAATTGAGCGCTAATTATTATAATTTACTCGAATTATGCTTTTAGTGTACAAATTAATCTAATAAATCATAACCACTTCTATAAAGCCTTTTAAGAAAATACCATAAATTAGTGTTCATGTAATGGTCTTCTTAGCAAATACTGGATCACTGGCCGTACAAATATAATTTGGTCACAAAATGGTCACTTGACTTATCGAAGCTATTATATAGCCTATAGCCTAATCTTTAATGCATAATACTGTATGACATGACATATCATTTTTGTACTATTCAAAGGGTATTAAGTTTAATTAGGTATATGTCAAACATCTCAATAAGCACATTTTTTAACATTTAAGAAAACTGACAGTAGAGTAAAGAAAGTGGCAATGGGTAGAGAATATCACATTAATTCCAACTTAATCAATTATTTCTAGTTTTGTTTATCATTGAATAAGCTGTATTTATTTTTACTTTCTATAATAATCACACTTATTAGAAGTTATAAGTTAATAATAAGATGCTTAATATATGCAATCATATCCAATATAATACTGTATTTGTAGTATTGTTGAAATTATCGATGTAATGAATTTTATACGCTTTTGTGATAAAAAATGTTTTATTTTTAATCCCTTCGACAGAAGTAGTAGTGTTTGGCTATTATTGCAAATAAGATTATTTTGAAATCCCTTCTCTTCGGTACTATTTTTCTCATTTCTATTTCAGACTATTTTTTTATCATTTTATTCTTTTGGATATTTTTACTCTCAGAACATAAAACTCTTTTATTGATTACAACAATCTCTATATAATATAAATTTATTTTTCTTTGTTTTAAAAACATATAACACATGAATTATATACGATATTGATTTGAAAATAATGTTAATAATATATTACCGAGTTTTAATCTTGTGAGATTTGAATTGGCCATTCCATTACAAATAATTTATTGCAACTATGGTTTATTTTTTAAACATTAATTAAAAATTTATTTTAAATCCTTAAAGAACTGATTTAATCAAATTTTATATATTTAATAATTTATAATTTTATTTAATTAAAACCCTATTTACTCAACTCTTGTTATCGAATCGGCCAATAATTATTGTCGCCTCAGGAATTTTTTAATCTCCAAAACGAAATAAGCTAGATCAAATCTGTAAAATGTAAATTAAAGTTCCATATGTCTAGTTATTTTTGCATAACAAAACAATTGAAATCACGTTATTAAATCGCCCCTCCGACCCCCTTCAGGTAGGCTCGAACTATGACCTTAGCAAATGTCCCAAAATATTTATATTCTAATCACATGATTTAAATAATTTTTTATACAAAAAATTAGACATATGGAATTTTATTTTACATTTTACAGATTTGCTCTAGCAAATTTCGTTTGGGAGTTTTAAGGATTTCTGATGCTACAATAATAATTGGCCGATTGGATATTGTGTTGAATGTGATACAATCGTAAAAACTACTGTTTTTACAGACACTGACTTTCTTTTATGACAAGTTTGACACAAGAAAAATGTTATACAGAAGCCCTTCGCTGTAATTACTGTTTTTTGGTTTCCTTATAGATAAATGTCCAGAATTTTGAGAGCAAGCCTTTTGACAGCAATGCCTTTGACTTATAAAATCTCATTTTGTGTCGTTATGTGTCCGACAATTATTTCAGCCGATTGTCATCAAAACTCATATACTTATGGTTTAGATCTATTGGTTTCATAAATCATAAACGAGTTTAAATGTGTTATTAATTTTAAATGATGTTATTATGGAATAAATGGATTATCATTTTTATGTACTCTATTTAATTAGAAATATCTGTTATTAGCATAAAATATACAATTGATTGCGAATAAAATTATGTGAAATTGTTTAAGAAATCAATAAAAACACATTCAATATATTAAACAAAACAATTTTATTGTTAAGAAATATGAAAACATTTTTTACATAAAATCGACTTTTGATGAATGTTTGGTCGAATGGATTGTTTGTATTAGTTTTGGTCCCAAAATAATTATTGAAGATTCAAATTCTTGAGCTCTTTCTCATTTCCAACACATTATGTTATTTTTTGTAACATTAATTGATATTCAGTTGAATTCTCGCTGAATTAACTTAAGAGCAAATCTGTGTTAAAACGACTACAACTGACTCACGAGAAACACTTAATCAGTTAATTAGTAATAAATTTAATTAAATTGCTTTTCATTGATATAAATGTAGAAATAGTGATCACAAATCCTCTCAATTTTTATTAACATTGAGGTCTTTTAACATTCATTCACAAGATCTGCATTATATGTTTGCGAGTAATTGAAAAAGTTCTTAACATTAATTCGTGAAACCAATTAAATATTAATGTAATATAACTGATGGTCAGTTTCTCTGACAACAAACAGAACAATTGTTTAAACTCTAATCCAAATAGAAATAAGTAGTAGTTTTGAGCACTTATTTGAGAGCATTTGAATTTAAATAGTATAAAATTGTTTGATGTGTTATTTATATATATTTTATATATACTCTGTAAAGAGGATTCTGTATTTAATAAAGGATGTGCTCATCATTTAAATATATTAAACAATTTAAATGTTAAGCCGAATGTGAAATATGTATTATTAATATTAATGGTAATAATAATAATATGAATGGTATTAAAGATATTCAACGATATCACATCTGACTGTCACCTGAGGACATGAAGAGCCGGTTCTCAATAGATTCTGATCAGTGTTGCGGTTAAAGTATGGAAATAAGCGAATAAAAGTGCTCTCAATGTTATGAGTGCTGTCATAATTGGAACCGGCATTTGGTGTCACATTCAGTGCATCCATAGACGACTCACACAAATACGAGACGCCTTCTCCTCTATTAGACTGAAGTCCTCCCAAACTATGCGCTCGTCTTCTAGTGTTTCGATGCATCGCTTCAATGCCTAAAGAATTGAAATTTTGAGTCTAATCTCTGGATTCAATGGTAATTATTTGGGCTGTAATTTCTATTTGATGAGTGCCTGGGATTAAGAAGGGATTAAAATACAAATGATAGACCTCTTTGTCCGTTGCGTTCGTAGCGATCGTTGTCGTCGTCATCACAGGAGGAGAACTCGTTGTGGTATTTATGAGATGTCTGTCGAATCGCTTTCGCATAAGAGGTGTCGTCAGACTCTAGGGCTAAGTCTCTGGCATTGGTTTCAATTTGAATGTATTGTTCCTCTCCTACGCTCACAGGAGATAAAAACTCCGATTGTTTATAACTAATACTACTATTAACGGAACTTTCAGTACTCTTATCACTGTTATTATGAGATCTATTGTTAGAGAACTTGATTTTTGTGTTATTACTATTAGTTTGTTGTTTGTCTATTAGAGAGAGTGCTCGAAGTGATAGCAGCTCTGATGAGCTCTGTTTTACTTCACATCTATTCAGTAGTTTATCTATTCTTTGTTCTATGAATTCAGGACATGATTCTGGCGGAGGAATAGGCATCTTATGGTCATAAACTCCATTTCCCGACACTTCAAATGATGGCGAAGCCGAGAGTGAAGTCACTTTTAAACTGTTAACACAAAATCGCATTACATTTTGTCGACGCATAAGAAATGTCGTAAATTTGATTGCTTTACGCAAATTGGATTCAATAGATATTTCCTATCCATCGGTCTATTATGCCATACCTTTCATAGGGACTCCATTTCTGGCATTCCTTTACATTTTCTTTGCTTTCATTCAATTCCTTATCTTTTATATCAAGCGTCTCGAGCCCTACGCCGACACCACTGCCAATACTACCGATTATTTGTTGAGTTTCTGCTTTAGTTATAACAAGAGATGATTCTTCTAATCCCCTTAAGCGGAACGTCAGGGCTTCCAATTCATAGGCTTTCTATTCGTATAAATGTTAACAATATTTTCAAATTCATTCTCAAAATCTCTCAAAAATATATATAAGTATTGCAAAACTGGAGGAACAAAAAAAACAATACTTCTTTGAGTCGCTGCCGGAATCTGAAGTTGTCTTCAGTAACCACTTTGATTCTGTGGTGGAGTTCCATCTCATCGGAGTCTCTGCGAGACTTTTTGAATGGCTTAAGTGTTGCCCTCACTCTCGCGTCTCCCGCCTGAGGATTCCTTTTCAGTTCAATTAACTACAAATAAAATCGATAAAAGTGTTGTCGGAAATCGTAATGTATATGTGAATTGTGATGGACGGACGGACAGGCAGGCCTCACCAGTCTCACCTTAGGCACGAACACCAGGCATAGCGTGGCTGTCGAACAGAATATGATGAATATGGAAATGATGACGAAAGCGGCGTCCTGTTGGTCGCGCAACACGAATGACAGTCCGGCGCCGATAACACACATAATCACCACATTATATACACTCATTCCGATGTATTTGGAGTCATTAAGCGCTGGAATGCTAACGTGTCTCGTCTCCCAGGCCAGGAATATGCCAAATGCCTTATAAACACATATCAATCACACATTGAAAATATTGCTCAAAATAGTCAAAATTCTTTTCAATTGTTGGCTAACCATCAGAAGGCCTTTATATACGTATATTGAGCCCAAAAATATAGTCATTCTCTTGCTCTGGCAGTACTCCATTTCGGGAATCACCCAAATGTCCTCGTTTTGAGGCGATGGCTACACAATTAATACATAGCATATTAATTTAGTCGTATAAATATTAAATTATGCTAATTATGTTTATATTTAAATGTGTTTAATAAAATATAATTCTAATAATAAGGTATTTGAGTGTAATCTAACAAATACTGAATATCAGTCTCATTAAACTCACAAACTATTTTCAGTGAAGAATTTCAAAGAAATATAATAAATAAATATTATTTTGTATAGACTTCTATTGAAAACTCTATTGTCATATACTTGTCATTCGGAAAATATGATAAAATATTACACTTTTCTACTGAATGTTGACTGGAATTTGAATTTTAAAAGTACTAAATCAGAGTATCAATGAGTTATATATTTCGATGAATACTGTTATATAGGGTTTTACGAGAATAACAGGCATGATATACCTCTGCTGTGCCATTGTGTGTATCCCTATAGAAAGGGTCGACTATTTGCCACGTGATAAGTGTTACCACATCGATGAAGACTAGCACCGCTACCAACATGAATAGTTTGTAGTCTTTAATGAGCTAAATATTTGCCGAATAAATAGATATTTTTTGTAGTGAAAAATGTGATTTAACAGCACATTTGCAAAAAAAGGCTTTTAATTAAAACACAAACTTTTTTATTAAGTTTAATATTAGTGAAGATGGCGTGAACTCTCCACGTCTTGCTGAACATACTGTAGAAGAGATCAATTTTTAATAAATATAACACAATTTATGGCTAAAAATCTTTTATGAGTTTATATTAGCATACCTTCCAAACGCTAACGTGAAGCCAGACATGAGAACCCATGCTCTTCCCTAAACACCAATATTTTATTAGTGAAAGTATTTGAAAATTGAAAATAAGGTGCTATTATGTGGACTATAAAAGTGTATATTAAATGAAATATTTATATGATTATAGTGTACTCACAGCGCAAATATATGGGAAATTTGATTCACTGGTTAGACCGCTATCCAAACCGAGTAATATTACCGAAGTATACGTGAGAATGCATCCGATTATTATGAGATTATTTAAATAAGGACTCGACATCTTTATGTATCTGAAAATACATACAACACATCGTTTCGTTTCATTATTTCGCTCTCTATTCTCAAGATGTAGTAAATATTTTTAAAAATACAAAAATATGTTTTTTAAGGAGTTGTTAGCATAAAAACATTGCACAAAATGAGTTCATGTTATTTAGAAACCTTTAAACAAAACAAAAAAATATCGACATTTTCAACAGAATATTCTTAAGTTTTAAATCCCTAAAACACTGTATTACAGCATGACCTTGAACAAAAATAGACCTTGAGAATCTGATTAATTAAAATATGACTGGATAGGTATGATGAGCAAGGTGTCTATGTTATAAGC